GCGAACCGGTAATTTAGAAAATGGAAACCCACCATTGGTTAGAATGCAGTACTGCAGGCTACTTCTGCTGACTGCCAGCTGCCAGAAGTTTGGCAGTTCGATTCTCATGGGCTCATGGTTGACTCAGCCTTCTATCCCTCCGAGGTCCATAAAATGAGGACCCAGATTGTTGGGAGCAAGATGCTGACTCTGTAAACCGCTTAGAGAGGGCTGTAAAGCATGGTGAACTGATATCTAAGTCTAAGTGCTATTGCTATTTTTAATTTGTATACATTTCACACTCAGCTGAGATACATTTGGCTAAACAATCAGGCTCTGCAACTATGCACTAGTTTCTGCAGCTCAACTATTAATCACCAACATTTCGGGGAGGGGAAAGACTGTCATGTTTTCCCAGCACCATCCACTTCCACTGTTGAAAATAGCTAAGGGTCAAAGAATGGGATGGAGCCTAGAAGAAGAGGCTGATAAGCTAAAGATCCAGAATTAGCTGGAACTGATTTACAGACACAAATATGCAAAGGATACTTTCCTTAGAGCCAAGTTCAATGTCATAACTTTTAAAAGATTAATTTAATTAGGAAAAAGAGACATAACAAGTATAATAACCATACAGTCAGAAATGAAGAAGCTTCTTGGATGAGAAGTGAAACATCTTCAAGGGAAAAAACCTAATCCAGTTGCCCTTTGAAAAAGCATCTTTGAGATTACTTCTTAGTAGTTTCTATTATTATTCCTCATCTATAAACAAAATCTTGCCAAAGTAAAACAACTACTTGCATAACTTCAGATATACATTGAGAATTTTAACCCATTTCCTCCCTATCAAACATTCCATGTTCCTCTTTGTCTTCCGGAATGTTATCTCTTGTGGTGGAAAGTCTACTTTCCACCACAAAAGTTGATTAAAATTAAATTAAAGCCTATACCAATCACGGATGACAATGGTATCTTAATAAATATGGATTTACTATCAATTTATTATGGTTGGTCATAGTGTCAGCCAAATATTTAGGCTAAATTTGGTAGTTTTGTTCAGCTAATGAGTGATTCCCAAGGACTTGAGATAGACAGTTATGGTGGTTTAATAGTGTTAAAAGTATCACTGTAAGATGTAAGCTGTTCCAAGGAAAGCTACCTTTTACAACTGATTGATGGTGATTTTGTCAATGCCATTGGTGCTCGAGATATTTAGAATTATAACCAAGACACTTATTACTATTGGTATTATCTTTGCTTTCTTTTGCTATAGTTGTTATACTTCTATTTGCGGGTCTTTATATTTTATGATTTTCTCCAGTTTTTTTCTCTTCTATTTTGCTGTCTCCAGGTACTGCAACATCCACTATTCAGACTTTTTTTGTCTTTATTATCAACAATTGTTAGGTCTGGTATGTTACGTAGCTATGTGCCTGGCTATTTGAATTCTAAAGTCCCAGAGCACATTAGCTTCTTTATTTTTTATTACTTTATCTTTTTTGTGGTCCTACCAGATCTTAGTTGCCAGCAAGTAGTACTTCTTACAGATACTGCACTGCACTATTGTTGATCCTTTTTCATGCTGTTGCTTGTATTCAGGCTATGCAATCCTTTTGCAGTAGCTAATTAGGTGGTGTTTGGCTTGTTTGCAGATATGGCATTTGTGTCTGTTTCAGTCTTTCTCAATTCTGACTTTGCATTTGTTCTTAAGGCTCGGTCTTATGCAATCTGCATTAGTCCATCTGTCTCTTTTTCCATTGTTCTTAGCCATTGTAATGTCTTGTTGTTATTTTCTTTACCTGCAAGAAATTTCTGGGCATTTAATACTTTACCTTGCCATGTCTCTTATATTCTTTATTTGATTTTTCTTGTAGGCCAGTTTGGTCTCTCCAGTACTCAATAAGTCTTCAGTGTATACTAGCTTCACATGTGTGTCTTCTTCACTATCCTTTAGATCAGTGGTTCTCAACCTGTGGGTTGGGACCCCTTTGGGGGTCGAACGACCCTTTCACAGGGNGCGAAATTGGCAGAGAGGGTGAGCTGGAAAGAAAGAGGCTCTGGGAAGGAGACTGTTTTTGCAGTTCAGTTTTTTTGCCGAAAAGAAGTGAGAGCATAGACACTGAGTTGGAATTGACAGCCTGAATAACTTGAAGGAATTGGCCACAGTGAGAACGAAAACCCGGCATGGATAACAGGAGTAGAACATAGTAACTGCTAAGAAGACTTGGAAGGCACAAACTATTTAAATGGTTGTTTTGTTTCTTTTATTGCATGCTTGCCCAGAGTCACATCTGTGAAATGGCTTTTTAAAATAAATTTGATGAATTAAATAAATAAACAAACAAATTTAAAACTGTGTTCCATTCATTTGTTATGGGTTTCATTATTAAACATGCAATGAAATTAGAAACCGATAGGAAAAAACTACAGACAAGTTGCAGGTACTTTTTTTAAAACTACGGGTACCAGTCCAGACTGCAAACATCTGAATGGCCAGTAAATGGGACCTAAGAGTACACAAAGCTCTAACTCTTTAATGTCATTCATTAACTATCAGGATTTGTGCACCCTGATATGGTAACTTTATGCTGGATATGAGAGCATATATACTCTTCATGATGTCTGACACACTTCCATTAAGTTCTAGCTTTTGAAATTGAGATGCAAGACCAGAGGTTGTGAAAGAGGATTTTGAGATTCTGAAATCAATAGCATTTATTTACTGCTTGATAGTGCTTTACAGCACTCTCTAAGTGGTTTAGAGTCAGCATATTGCTCCCAACAAACTGGGTCCTGATTTTACCAACTTCCAAAAGATGAAACACTGAGTTAACCTTGAGCTGGTCAGGATCGAACTCCTTGCAGTGGGCAGCGTCAGCCTGCAGTACTGCATTCTAACCACTACACCACCAGGGCACTTCTGATAGGATATTCTTCAGCAGGAATTAAAGTTTATTGGCTAAACACACATTTTTCATAATCAGGGTGTTATATCAAGCATCAAAAAATATTTGAATTGTCCCGTTCCAGTTAGAGAATAATAATTCAGTTAAACTATTAATCAGAAATGGCAGACTAAACTCCAGATATTAGGTCATAGCTGCCTTTAATACATAATAAAGTAGGCAGGTAAACAGATGTTTGCTCTATAACTGAAATAACTTTCAATTTCACTTTCTTATTTTTTGAAATTGAAAGAATAAATAGAAAAAAGTGATGGGACCTAGTGAATATAGTCTTGCATTCACACAAAGCATTTGTTTGCAGAATTAACTCATTCAGTGTTAATTGAGTATTCATGTGACCATACCCAATTTTCCATCCTTTCTTGTGGTATTTAAGTGAACCATTGTCTGCAATTTTGCTAGAAATTAAGACATAACGTTGGTTTCTGGCAAAAATAAGTTGTAAATTGTGGACATGTATCTATGAGATGCTGCAAACAGCCATCAACGCTGGACTGATTGCTGAGCATCTCCCGGAGGCAAGGGGGGAGTCCTGACCATAAGAACTTTAAATCTGGCTCATAAGTATCTTTGGGGGGATCCATGAACTGTTGCTAATCAACCAGTCATAAATTGAGGACTGCTGTACAGTAAATATAAATATAGCCCATGTCAACAAAAGCCTTTTGGGGCACCTTCCTAAATTTTAAAATAAGAGGTTCTTAGAGAAAAAAGTTTAGCACCGTAACTAAAATAAAAACACTATTCTTTGTTTTATTTCTATGAAGGATAAACTGAAGAAAAAAAAATAGTTTAATTCTGATACGCATACATATACATATTCAGTCAAGGGAGTTATACATTTTCTTTGCTTTAAGAACTCAGGGCAGTATACATAGCATTCTCCAAGTCATAGTATTTGGCCTAAAGTCAGTTGGGGAGCTTTTATCTGGAGCTTTTTCAGATTTAACTTTCACTGATTTAACACTAAGTTTTCCCAACCGTAGTCCAACACCTTAATGTATTGCAACATAAATGTCTACCTATACCGGTCTTTCACATGCTCTATATTCTAAAACAGGAATGTCAAACTTGCAGCCCATGGGCCAGTTGCATCACACACTGACATGCTCCCCTCCCCCCCCCCGGTTTAGTGAAGGGAGAAAAGTCACGATACGCCACGTGATGATAACATGATGACGTTAGTTTGACACCCGTTCTAAAAGGTAGAATGTATGTGGGCAAAGGGATTGCAAATTGTTGCAACTCACTGTGATATTCCTCATGGTTTCAAATGACATTGATTACAGAATGCCTCTTACTTGCTTTTCATCTGTAGGGAATAGTTTATATTGATTTTGTTAAAGCGACAAGCCGAAGCCTAGCAGATATCATTTTGATTAAAGCTAGCCCTTGTGCAGAGCATTATATTGCATCTTAAATCTTTAAATTACATCAATCCCACTGGTGACTAACTGCATAGTCCTAATCCAAATTCACTCCTAGTTTATATTATAGCATGCCTGAGTGAGCAACTAAAGAAAGCTAAGAATGAGATGCCTAGAAAAAGCCATGCTTAGCTTTTCCTTGGAGGACAAGCCAGAATTTTTGGATTTATTATCATTCAAACAATCAGAAGAGACATTTCAATCCTTGATTAGCTGATTACTCTGACAGGACAGAGAAATATAGCTGGTAGGGATCAGCTCAGCCATATGAATTAGCATATACCTCATTCATATTTAAGGATCCTTCACATCTTGGATTACCATGATGTGCAAAAACAATGTTTGTGATTTAGTCCTTTTTGTTGGAATGTTTAAAGAAAAAGAAACATTATTGAAAATACCTATTTTAAAAATTGATTCGTCCAGTTTCTTGTTAATATTTTTCACCATGGAATATCACATTTTTTATTTGTTGAAGGAGCTCAAACAGATGACCAGTGTTTAATATTAAATAGAAGGAAGCTTATCTTGTGGAAAATTCATGAACAGTCCTCAGCACTTATAAGTAAAGGAAAAAGAATCCAGACTATATTATGCAGCATAAATTGTAGCACATATTGTTTTTTACCTTGCCAGTTGACTTTGTACCTTTCCAAATACAAAAGTAACAGATAGTCCAGGCAGCCAGAAGACATAGTGACAGTTCCCAGCGAAGATTCCCAATGTGTTCAATACCGTCTGATATGGCCAAGACTCTTCGTCTAAAAATGATATAAATAAACATCAGTACTAAAGCTTTAATACAGAAGCTACCACTTGCCAGAAATCTCATAATCTGTTAAGAGTAGTACTGTTGTTGTTGTTATTGTTGTTATAATAAGTGCTAGTTTGGTCTAGTGCCGTGATGGTGAACCTATGACATGCATGCCAGAAGTAGAACGCAGAGCCATCTCTCTTGACACACCAGCCATTGCCCGTTGCTCCTCCGGGTTCCAGTGCTGGTCTTCGCATGTACGGGAGCGCCGGAAACTTTAAGAGCAGCTCCCTGGCATGCATGGCTGCACCAGAAAGCTGAGCTTCTGGTTTTGCATGTGTGCCAGCCAGCTGGTCTTCACATGTGCTCAGCTTCCCAGTTCGTGCATGCGTGCCAGGGAACTCCTGTTCACATACCAGGGAGCTCTGTTTCTGGTTTCTGATGCTCCCCTGTGCACGTGCTCCTGTTTGGGTCCCACTTTACATATGAAAGTTGATTGGGTGACTTTAGGCCAATCAGCCCATAATGTCATACTCGGTGAACAAGCTTGTTAGTCAATTCTTATCACAACCAATGAATAATACTACATCTGAGGGAGAGTGGGGGGAGACAAACATTTGTAGAAAAAGTGATAGGAAAATAGTTACTATTATTATTTATTAGTGTTGCAAGGTAGCCTCTAAAGTTTGGATACAATTTTAAATAGCTAATATTAAAAATAGACACAAAAAAGATGTAAATTAATCAATAAAGTATATTCTACAAACCTCATTTGCAAACCAGAATGCCCCTTAAGTAACAAGCCCAAATAAAAGTCTTGTCTATCAGAGACAGCCAGTTCTGCTGCAGATCTCCTAAACTGTATATCTGCTAAATACAACTTCCAATCCTAACAACTAAGATTTTAAAATTTCATTAAAAAATAATAAATTTCCTATCATTAACATCGATCATGTAAATAAAAGGAAATAGCACTTTCCATTACAATTAACACATGCAGGACAATGTGTCATTGGATTTGTGCAATTGGAATATATGGAAGAAGAAAGCCTTTACTTATAGAATGTAAATGCCATTTTCCTATCAGATACAACACAGCTTCAGTAAATCCCTTATCTCAGGAGATGTTAGAGATGGGTTCTAAATTCATTGCAGCAACCTAATCAAATCTGTTTCCGAACATCTCTGGACACTAGCTCATCTATTTAAATCTGTATTTTCCCCTGCAGTATCCATTCTTTCAAGTGAATTTGATCAGTCCCAAAAATCACAGGTTTGATCAGTCCTAAAATCACAGGTTCAGTCTTATTAGAATTAATTCAAGAAAATTTACTAATTATATCAAAAAGAGTGTAACTGTGAATTCTGAAAGCAAAAATAAACTACATAAAGTTCCCTGAAATAAAATTTAGATCATCAGACACAACTTATATTTAAGAAATACTGAGTTAAAGTATTTCATACAGTTTTGCCTAGGGCATGATGTCTTCTGTCAGGCAGGTCTGGCTTACTAGCAGTGCAGGTTTTGGCCCTACTGCCATGCGAAATAAACATTAAAAAACCACCACAATTCCAATTGGAAGAGAAAGACATCCGCCTCTTAGAAGCTCCATTTTTGCTGGCAACGTATAGGATGAATATTGCAGAGCCTCCGATGTTGTTCATAAGGGTGAACAACTGCTATGGTGCTGCAAGATTTGTAGTTTCAGGACTTGTTCATAAATGCTAGGGGGTGCTTATTGCGTAACTTTGAACGTTCACTAAGGGGACGCTTGTAACCAGGGATTACCTGTATATTACTGAAAGTAGTATAATACTGGTTAAGGTCATGGCTATATTGTAGCATTTAATAGGTCTGTTCCCTGTTTTGGCCTGAAGTTTCTGGATTATTTTCCCCCATTTATAATAGGAGCTTATCAATACAAAAACCAATATGAATACGAATAGCCTCATATTCATATTGAATTGAATTGAATTGAATAAGTTTATTTATAGGCCGCCCTTTTCCCTGAGGGGACTCAGGGCGGCTAACAACTTATAGGGAGCGGGATACAGACAATAACATATAACATTACATATAATTAAAAAGTAAACAACATTCATCCAGCATTCGGGTGGGGGCGGATCAAATCTTTTCCCCCAGGCCTGGTGGGATAGCCAGTTCTTGACTGCTGCGCGGAAGGTCTGAAGGGTGGTGAGGGTA